TTGGTAAGCTACAACATCTTTAAGATCACCGATCGCATTACTCACCATTTCCCGAAATATGTCTAGATAACAACTTAAACCGCATTGAATGGAGTTATATTTGAATAGACCGAAGGGAGTGTTAATTGATGCCAAAATAGATGAAGATTGATCTAAAGGGAATTTGAAGATAGAAATATTTTAAGTCGATTTTCTAGTTCACCTTGGAACCATGAAGTCGAATAAGAATATCTTCAGCTTCTACCGTCGTGCATGTTTGCCTCAACAAACTGAAGTAAATGTTAATCTATAATTATCACATACTCTATTGGTTTTGCTATCAGACTTCAAGTGCTTAACAATTGGATAACTTTATTCTGAAGACTGGATCGGTTTAACTATTCGTTTTACACACAATTCATTCAATGTCTTACGTGACGCTTCTTGAAGACCGCAAGTAATTATTCTTCTTTTTAGGAAGTCAGGATCACCCTGTACTTTGAGTTTAATAAGCTGAATTCTCTTTTCTCCACTGCACTTAGCCCACAGCAACAAAGTCATAAAATAAACCAAGTGAGGTATTTAATCTATTCTGAATACTGAAATCGTAGATAAGGATAAATAATCATTAGAAACACCTAATTTAATAGAATCCGAACCACTGGGTTTATCAACACTATTGTCAAAACCGACAGTTGCTTTACAGGCCAACTTGATGAATGATGAAAGACCCATGAATTACGCAAGTGGAATTTACCACAGAATAGACTTTTACCAAACCTGGACTCACATCTGTAACCTGCCTTGTGATTCTTTGATGAATTACTTTTCACATTTCCACGAGAATGGAAAGGTTATTAAACAAAAACGAACTTGTGCAACATTAAGAATATAATTCATCACGATGACTGAGAAAAGTATCAGGAATTTTCACTGACTGGAAATCAAGCTCATTCACTGCATCATATAACAAATTCTGTTCTAGTTTCTTGGAATGAAATTTTGGGTTTCTAAATTATTCTCTTTTTAAGTTCGAAATATTAATATCAGCGATCAAGCGATCTCGAAGTTGAGTTTCGAGTAGGTTTCCGAAATTATGCTTTGTTGCCTGTTTCTGTGGTTCAGGTAAAGAAAACTTTGACTTTCTGGACATTTTGTTGCATCGCTTAGTGAAATACTGATCTATCTGCGCAGTCAAAGCTAGTACTTGATACCTGCGGATCAACAACGTAGATAATTTATGTCAATTGATTGGACGCCTACTCCAGTTAGACAGGAATAGTGTGATAAATCAGTTGATTTCGAAGTCACGTCACAGTTAGTGCCAAACGTGGATTACCTTTTTGTCGTAACCACGTACAGAAATGTGATTCCATATTTTTCGTGAATAGTCAGGTACACATCTGTGCACTTATCAGCCACTATTTGCTGACTAGTATAAAATATTGTATCAAAGAAACGATTAGGTGATGGTCTTCGAGTATCACAATCGATTGATCACCGCGTGGTGATCAATGTCATGTGTAGCAAGTCCTTCTTAGTGCAGATCGAATGCTATCGACCATGACATGACATGACATTGATCACGACCCAGTGATCAATCAATTGTGATTACATCTCAGTCCTACAGGAGGCGTCCCGGATAGCCCAGTGGCAACGACTCTGACTGTAAAGCTGGGTGACACGGGATCGAATCCTCAAGGGAGCAACAGTTCCCTCAGGATTACAGGAAAACTTTGCCGACGGGTGCCGAACAGCACCCCTTTGGGAGAGAAGGCTTGGGTCTAATTTGATCCTCTACTTCAAACTACTCAAAAACATTACTTATTCAACATGTAAGATAGTTCTTGCCCAAGATTCACATGAATACGAACTTCGAAACAAAGTTGAGAAATACAGATCAAAAACTTGGGAAAACTTCTTCCTCACCAGGTATGCAATAATATGAAACAGTCTTCCCTCCAAAGTATGCATTGCAGATGAATTACATGAGTCTGTAAAACTACTTGATCAGGCCCTCACTTTCACTGATCTAGCACGAATGAACACATCTGCGCTCTACTCAGACATCATAGGCTCTCTCCATGTGTAAACCAGAATGGACTCCAAGTTCAGTTTGCCTTATTTTTCCCACTTTGCAGTTGTATTAGTTACATTTTCCACCCTGTTTCTTCACGTGAAGTAGACAGGTAACCCACTGAACCTATCGATACTGTTCAACTAAACTCGATCGCTAAGAGACACTCACTACCACCCTAGAAAGTCAAGTGAACCGCATAATTGACTGTCTACTACCAATGGTCTTGCATCAATGGAGCGTGTCACCCATCAACTGGTTGGGAAAATACAAAATAACATCAGCACCAAGTTAGTGTGAGTTTCCTCCTGTTTATTCTTTGTTAGCTTTTTACTCTTCTGTACACTATGTTGACTGACAATTAATATTATTTCTCTACTCGTTACCTTATCTACAACTCATATACTTCTATAATTTTTGGCTTGCTTTAATAACCAACTATCCTACATTATACCCTTTATAATGCTTATACTCTGACAAACTGTGCTTTATACTATAGTCAATTGAAGCGCTGCATCGATGTAATACCCATAGTCCATAACTTGCACCTGCCTGATGAGCTTGTAAAATGGTACTTATAAAAAGTGTTTTCCAACAGGATGTGAAACACAGAGGATTGTGTGAGGTATGACATATATCCAAAAATAAGCTTAAATGAGCCCAACATCACAAAAGGAGGGAGGGTGGAGTTACTGACCAGCAAGCATTGATGGTGAGGGCGATGACTTGAATCCACCCATGTTTGTGGGGCAGAACATTTTGTATGTACCGGGCTCTTTATGATTGGGAATAAGTCAATCAATCTGTGATATAGATTGTCTTCCTACGCTTACCACTCAGACTCATGTTTCCAATTTCATGCTGTATTAGCTATTATATTAAGACAACCTATAACATGCTAACTCGGACTTTTACACTGGGATCGTGTGGCTGGCACCGGATGGACAAAGAAAGAAAGGAAAGAAAAAACTAGGCAACAAAAGATATGGTCATTAGTATTCTTAGCACTTCACCCTCTACATGTACACTCCCTTCTAATAAACCGCTATCCTTGTACAGACCTTGAATTTCCTTCCTTCATGGGACCTTACTACAACTTGTTAAACACCACAACCCATTCTCTTATATGAACCCTCTGACTTTATTTCACTCTAACAAGAGATAATATGAATTTAATCTAATTTATTATACCTCTGTCTGTTCTACAACAAAATGTTAAGCAACGTTTGGCGTTCATATCCAAGTGCCTTGCTGCTCCTCTATTTCTCTTTTTTTCACTTCAGAATCTTGCTCTGAGGGTACAGCTATGAAACTTATGACGTCTGGAACAAATTGACGTACGCGTCTCCTCAATGTCATGGTTTACAGCAAGCGCTCTACAAGTCTACTTTACAACAACTATAAACTTAATAAGTTGGGAGGCATGCTGTACGCCAACAAACGTTGTAATTTATGGATTATGTCTGTAAAAATGGGGTGTACCTGCTCATGCAGAAATATGTTTTTTTCGTTGTGAATTTAATATTGGCCTGTAGACAGTTGCTCTGAGTACGAGATTTTCTTCAACTGTAGAAATTCTGCATCGGATCTTCCCTGTTCATCGATGAAGCTGAACATGTCATGTCTGTGAATGTTTTCAGCTGCTACAGAGCTTCTCCATCAAATATGGTTTGTGCTCTCTATATAGAACTTGAGGATCTTGCTGAGGCCCTTGTGTATGTTGAAGGCTGCTGATGCAGAGGCTGCTGCTACTATGTTTGTCTTAAACGATATTTGTTGGTGTGTACGGGATAGAACGGCCAGATCATCTGTGACTTCTAAATCTTCTGTTTGATGCCAAGCTGTCCATTACATTACGTGCTTTGCCTCATATATTGACGTATCCATAATTCAATCGACCACCAGAAGAAAGAGAGAGTGGGACAGTAAGCAGACTTGTCCAGCTGTGGTCCTCACTTGGAATGCATCTTTCAGCTGTCCTCCACACATGACCCTGCAACGTAGTCTAGCGTATGAATTCTGGATGATTTTGACGATTGTTTCATCTACTGACACCATAGTATTGAAGAAGTTTCCATCATGTACTTTTATACGCACTGTCAAACGCCTTCTCATAGTCAATGAAAGTTGATGTATAGTGACGAGTTCTACTCAACTGACTGTATAGAGATAATTTGTAGCGTCCCTATTTGGTCTGTGTACGACTGATCATTTTGGAATCCGACCTGTTGATCTGGAAACTGAGCGTCTACTAAATCTTTCATTCACTACATCAACACTCTGCCGAAAACTGTTCCTGGTACTGATAGTAGTGTGACTACTCTATAGTTCTTACACTTGGTGGATTTTCTTTTTAAGGGATCTTGATGATGTGTCGTTCTCTCCTCTTAACATAATTGTCATTAAAATATTGTGGTAGTGCATAACAGGCTCGGAAAATCTTGGTTGGTATAATACAGAGACGTCACAGTTGTTCAGTACTTGACAGAGCTGAAATAATGAGCGTTCGGTCAGTTGACCATGAAGCAAGAACTACATATCTGAACTGAAATATCAACTGAATTATTTTCTGCTCCAGAGACAACGCACTTCTCACAAACAACACATTCCATTAATGTCTCCGGATATTTTTCATAATTTGATTCTCCATTTTCCTCGTGTTCATGACCCGATCAATGATAGAACACTACTGAAGACTTGAGGGCACATGATAGCCGGCATATCCCAGTATCGGATTCCTCAGAAGTATGTATTATCGATTCTGCACGCAGCACGCGATGTATTTTCCATTCGACCATTTTGTATTTGAACATTCTAGTGGCCAAGAAATTCAGGAAATGCTTTTGATGGCTTGTGAAAAAATCATTGTAAAATTCAACGACGTGAGCTTATTGCAAATGCAATGTTTGTTTAAAAGCATCGATTTAAAAAGTTTAAAGGCCATACCCGTTCACATGACAACCTTTTGAAGCAGTTTTCAAAAGTTTCAATTACTATGCATTTTTGATTTTGAAGTTTTTTGAGCAGCTACTTGTCTTATCGTTGTCTGTTATCGACTGCCTTTGTTATCAATTGTAGGCGCATTTCATATTATTGGCTCATTTTTATAATGTTGTTCTTTACTTCAGATTTTTTCATACGTTTCTCAAACTATCACAAAACACACAATCAAGCTAGACGACAGCCGGTAAATATATACGTTTGATTTGGATATTTGCCATTGAAGCAGTTTCATTCATCGGGTTAGGGTGCATGTTTTACTTTCGTTAAACTTGCGGGCTAAAAATCTGTCCATTTGTTGTCCCTAATATAATAACATACCGGTTCCACTTTATTTTGACTGAATTTTAACATTTACCGAACGTAATCTCATTTCGTTGGTAAGATAAAATTATGGAAGGTCTGCCGTTTTTGCCAGGAAATGCCTTTAAAGACCCTACGGTAAGAATATTGTCCACTGATTTAATGTTTGTTTAGCAAACCAATTTTCACCTATCTCACACTCTGGATATGAAAAATGGTTTACGATATGCGAAAGCCTACCCAGAAGTTGGGATTGGTGGTCGTCCTTTGAAAGTCAACCAGCTAAACGAGGAAGAATTAGACGAATTAGCAAATTTTCAGCCGACTTTAACTTATGGAAGGACGAAACAGTCGCTTGTTTCTGAATTTATTCCTGCCCACGTCGCGTTGTATAATAAGGTCCTTCGATTCTATGGATATTTCAAAGAAACAGTTAACGAATCACAAGTTGAGCACTACAGAGTCCGGCTGGTTCAGATATTGTATTTCCTAGAGGACGACAGCATGTTGGTGATGGAACCCCCACAAAACAATAGTGGTATACCTCAAGGTAACTACCAGACCATTAGGAGAGACTTTATTTCACATAAAGCGTGTTTTTAACTGAATATATTACATTTGAAAAACGTATTAGTTATAGCATGTCTATATGAGCATATATCTGCTGTTCTAAAACTTGTTTTATTACATGAAACTATTTTATATGATGAAAAATGGTAAAGTGGTACACAGTTAGCCTTCAATAATTTTTATAGTTACAACATCTGTTAGAATAGTTTTTTATTTAAGAGTTTTTACCATTTAAATTGAAGTTGATGATTTCAACAATTTTTCAGCTGTTGACCACCTGATGAAGTAAACGTTTTCCATTTTTATCCATTCATTTGGATCTTATAAGCCTTTTGTGGCCATTTAACTTAGGCTTCCGGGCAAATTCAATGTTTGTGGGTGTTTCTATAATAAGAAACTATCAACAAAAAGACGAATTTGTTATCTTTTTCATCTTACTCACTTAAGAAATAAAATTACTACGAAGAAGAGACTACAGGATGGGTGAAAAAAGATAGAGCCACATAGCTTAAAACTTAAGGAATACTTATTCAAAGACGTCAGCTGCATCACCAAACGAAAAACAGTGTTTATAGGCTGGCGCTAGTGGTACATGAAGTATTGGCAAGAGGTTTATACACAACAAGGTTTTTTGTTGGATAATGCTCTCGGAGTAGATCTGTATTATGCAGAAAGAAATGAATGACTAAGCTTCTTATTGAAGTCGTTATTTTGTATTCCAATTGGTCATGTTGATCAACCTGTAGCATACAAAAACTAAAAACGATCAGGTTTGTATGTCTTGAACCATTCGTTTTCTTATTTGTTCTCTATCTTTAAGACTTACTTGAACCTATCGACCTGTTTATCTAAAGAATTTACTTGAATAAAAGAATCGTCCTTGAAAAAAACACTTACAGTTTTAGCGATCCGATAAGTTAACTGTGAGAAATAAGTAATTTACATTTGGTGGCAACAAACATAAACACCAGCAACAAACCATTATTACGATAAACGCCTAGCAACTAAATGTTTTATTAGTAGTTTTTATTCGTATTAGAAGTTACCGTGGTGACCAAAATCACTGTAAGCCACTTGTCTTTCTGCGTTTAATTTTTATACCCATCATAAACCTTAACAATCACATCATTCATGACACTGCACAACTATGCGCTAGTCTAAGTACTTTCGTTCGTATTTAGCACCAAAACGCCGAAAAATGAAATGAAAAGAAAGACGTCAAATAGTAAAATCGATGGTAGTGATATACCAAGCACAAGAAGTATTGTTAAAAGGAGCAACTACATAGAGGGAAGTGGAATGTGTAGGACACGTACGCGTTGAAAGCCCAAATAGCAATAAAAAACTCACTGTATTTGCTTTTTCATAACATATTTTGAGCCGTGTTACAGAAATTCAATGACCATTAATTACAGCCAATAACCATCCTTAACTAAAAAATCTGAATCTTAAACTGATGATCAGCTTCATAGTTAATAAGTTCAAGTGTTGATACTTTCTTGCCCGTGCTACCAGTTTTTTAATCAGAACTACAACTACAAAGGCAGTTGTTCGTATATACTAAAACGTTTGATCATTATAGTCAAGACATTTCCACAGAATATTCGATCAACTTTCAAACTGTACCCATTAACCTACTCAAAACCTTAAAGTTACAATCTCAGTTTTGCCACTGTACTCAAAAAGGCTTTAATAAAATCTGTTATGCAGCATTACGAAAACCTCTTATTTGAAAAATATTACTTTCAACAATTCTGAGAAAACCTATAGGTTGGAAAACATGTGCTGTTGAAATTCGTTGACGATCTATTTACAATAAGGAGAACACGACATCAAATATCCAGTAAATAATTAAACTCAGCCAAACAAAACCAATTTGTAAAGGACTTACACTCCGTTTGTTAGATACAAGGTCATAACATCGTTGTAAAAGATGGATTATCAATCATGACTTATGTGTTATCAAATGGCTGAATTCAAGTTTAATTTCAATTGCAACATTAGGAAATCACAATATATCACCTTACTCATTTAAAAAAACTTAAAATACCACATATGGTTGTCACTTTTCATTTATCGTTTCATTATTAAACGTGTAATGACTAACTACTTTAGCTTAGAAACACGGGTAACATAGAATATTACCCAAGCACTCATATGTAAGCGAACTTTAAAGTCTAAACACTTTAAAAGACTTAAGTCCACAATTATGCTTTGGTTAATTCTAATGTAAAGACGTAAAGTTCATGTAATAAATCAAAGAAGGAACTGATTAGTTTTATACTGAGTCTCTAAATCGTTTGTATCTTTTGTTAATACAATCACAGGAAAATTAGTTTGTAGACATAGAATTCCAAAGAATGATATCGGGGATTGTTACAATTGGCGTGATCTGAATCTTGGTACAAATCTGGCTATATATGGTCGAGTTTATCGCATTACAAACTGTGACAAGTTTACAAAGGTTTGTGAATATTTTAACGTAACTCAAATCAACCGTCAGTCAACTTACTTTGTGGTATTTCATATTAGTATGATCAATTAACGACGATCCATTTTGAAATATCCTTTACAGAAGGCTTCCTTCATGTTTCTTGCACCATGAAATATTTTTGTTCAATACTTGTCGAACAATTAAGCCGATATTATGGGGATACATCATTAGCGACTATCCACAAAAGGCTGAATATCTAATCACTCAACTTTGCATAATCTTAACTATTAACAACGTCCACAGTTTTGATGACATTTTTCAGGAAAGCTGAGGGTTTTGATGATTATCTTATAAATATATTATGGTATAATTACAAACAGTTAATTGAAACACAGTAATTTATAGTGGTCTACTGATCCTTTTTAAATTAGGATAAAACCTTCCTTTAGGTACAAGTTAGATATTCAGAGTAATCTTTTGCTACGAGCACAAACGTTTGTTTAGTTGAAGTATGATACTTGATATAAAAATATAATAATCAGTTCTGTTTGAATTTATTTTTGAATTTGAGAAACTAACATTAAAATACCACCTATTACTAGGTTGTCATTTGAAGACAATAAACGAATATACATATCATCAATTAGACCCATGTATTTGCTTAGTTCTTTTCGCCAAAACTATTTTCTAAACCCGTACAATCCTGATTATAGTCAGCTAGAACATATAATTCTGTGGTAAAACAGAAAATTACTACATCATATGAAAGGTGGTCGGAAACGTGTTGAGATTACAAAATTTTGTAGTAAACTATAATGGAAATTCATTAAACATTGAAGTCAACTGTTAAGCTGAACAATATTGTGAGACAATACATTCTCACTTGAATAGCCTTTCTTTTCTTTCTCAATAACTCTATACATTTCTTTTATTATTTAATACTTACTAATTAAATTAAAAAAAATCGGACAGTGGATATATAACAACTTACATGCACTAGATTCAAAACTAAATATTACATAAGCAAAGATGGGTAGTACGTAGCAGTGGGATGCAGAACGCGCGTTTCATCTTATGCAGGTACATCTAGCTGTCAAGTCCCAAATAGAACGAAACGCGCGTCGTGGATTCCACTGCTAGCCACTATCCATTTTTGCTTATAAAAAAGCTTGTGAATTAAGGCAATGTCGAGGCATACGCACAGTATGCACATATCTCAATAACAGACTGATCAACTGCAGTCTTAAACCTCAATGGGAAGATACAAGCAAAACAATACCAAGTGAATTTAAATATTACATAGTTTATTAAAATTCACTTCATAATTTTCAAATATGTTTTTAGGACTTTTTAGAGAGCGAAGGAGTTATTGTGAATGAGCCTGAACAGGAACCAATAGATCCATATTTGGCTGAGAGAGCTAAACGTGAAGCTATAGCTCTTGGCAAAACACCTTCATCCTTTGATAAACGACGTCAGTATCTCGAACTTGATCGTAAGGTTTTACGATTTTACGCCGTACAGGATGAACGACACGAAATGTTTGGTGAATGTCGTAAATTTATTATACATGTACGTACATAATATTTTATGAAATGATATTTAAAGTAACATTTATCATTAAAAAATTCCTTTTCTCAGTTTGACTATTTTTTAATATGGTAGAGCAGAAAAAAATGTTAGTTATCATTTTAAACTTTAATGTTAGGTTTCTGATTTTTGTAACTTCTTCTAAACATACACATCACCATAGTAACATCATTTAGGCAGATTGGAATGTTTACGGGTTCATTTGAGATCCAATTCATCAGTGACTTGAACGAAGAAATTTTAAGGGTCAGCCTATAAACGTTTACAAAAAAGTGTTGACAGTTTACCAAAACATCTAACTATTCAACTGACCTCTTATGTTTAGAAGTCAACTTAGGCTATCTTGCTTCAATCTTTCCAGTCATCAGTTTAGTTTCTTGAGTTGAATGCCGTTAAATATATTTCTAAACTGTTTTAATTTAAATATGGTTGGCAACGTTTCGTTATTCAAGTTAATTTTTTTGATTGCAAAACATACTGACCAAACAAGATTATCTTCAACTATTACATGTAATTCGAAATATTTATGAAGAAATTTATTTCCAAACTAAGTATTTTCCCACATAACCTCAAGTGGCGTCCGACAGGGCTTTCCACCGTCTCCATTTCTGTCTAATTTCATCATAGACCTACTTCGGAAAATAATGTTCTCGTCGTCTGAATTTTTGTGAATTTATCTCGTACCAGGAGGTCCACTTATGGACTTAGAATACGCCGATGATATAGTCCTGTTCGCTTAAAACGCTAATAAAATACAAAGCTTTTTGGTAGCACTGTGCAATAATGCCAGAACGTTCGGAGTGCGTTCCTCCCCCTCTAAATGCAAGTTGTTGCTTCAGGACTGGCCTGCGTCAACACCTGAACTAAGGATATGGAGTGAAGAAGTCGAAAACGTTGACAACATCACTTAACTTGGAAGTTCGATCAGCCCTAATGAGCTGGTGTCTGACGAAATCTCAGCACGGATTCGAAAAGCTCGTTTGGCTTTTGCCAACTTACGCCACCTGTGGCGAAGGTGAGATATCCGTCTATCAATAAAAGGACGAGTATATTGCGCGGCAGTCCGTTCTGCTCTACTTTACGGATGGGAAACGTGGTCATTAAGAGCGGAAGTTACTCGTAAGTTATTAGTACTTGGTCATAGATGTCTTAGAAATATTGCTCGCATCTGCTGGGATAACCGAGTAAGTAATAGTGATTTTATACGCAGGGTATTAGGGAATGGTGGTAAATCAGTTGATGAGGTTGTGAATCTTCATCGACTGAGATGGTTGGGCCACGTGTTACGTGTATCTCAACACTGATTACCACGGCGCGCAATGTTGACTAGCGTTGGGGATGGTTGAGAGAAAGTTAGGGGTGGCCAAACCAAAACGTGACATCGGTGCTTGAAGTCATTAACTTCTATTCTGAATCATGTTGGTAGATGCAAACTACTTGGTTGGGGTTCGCGTGACTATCTTAAGCAATGGTTGGAGACTGAGTGATATGGCTTAGAATCGATCACAATGGCATAGGTGTATACACTCTTCCTATTTTCTTAAACCATGAGATTAACATCGCTTCACATCTTTTTTTACGAACTAATTCCTTCTCCATGTATCATATCCAATGCATGAAATCTTTCTTTTACATATTACTACCTTTGAAGTAACTGCTTCTATGAACTCGGTGTTCATCTTGTTGTGCTAATGAGGTGTGGTAACTTGAACCGATGCACATATGTGCCTGGTCTTACGTTGTAGCTCATTGACTGACCGACATATCATATAGATATGATTCAATACAGAACAAATAATTAATAAAAATCTTTAAAGAATTCATGTGAAACAGTCGAATCAATAGTCGTCACAACGGAGTTCTAAACGTGAGCTAGTTCAATTAACAATCTGTGTACGTCAACACTTCTGTACAAGATAAAATAAGTTTAAAAGAAATAAATTAAATACATATTCATACCAATAAATTATTTGTAATTCATATTTGCTTTCTCTTTTTGTGAAATTCTTATCAACAATTGTAATAAATGAAATAAAAATCAGTATTATTTAGCTGATGACACTTTGGAAATACGTGAAATTCATACAGCGAATGATGGTCGTGATCCATTCCCCTTATTATTGAGACGTGAAAGAATACCAAAATGTCGTGATACTATCCCTCAATCATTTCCAAGTGTCAGTATGGAAATAACTGGTAATTTACGTTTTTTTGTCATGAAAATTGGTAATTTTCACCACTTTCACATGTAAGATCAACTAAAAAGAAGTATAACTTTAAGCACTCATGATAGCTGTGAAAAAGTTTATTAAAGGTGATGGAAGGATAATTTAAAACGTTGAACTATGTTTTCGCGTAAATAAATCAAATGATACAATATATTAATAATTTATAATTCCATGGTGGTTTTACACCGCCTTACCGACACATTCAATATAATATAAAATGAGGCCATTGATTATTTAGTAGCTATAGATTCAGAAAGTTTTAATGATCACATTGGTGGTCCCGAAATATAAGTTGGAGTTGAAAAAAGGCTCAGCAGGATTTTAGTTCAGTGTGGTATTTAGGAGTGAATTTGTTAAGCATGTTCAACCGTTAACTTATTGTAGTAATCTCAAGAGCTCTAATGATTTGGAGACGGAAGAGTTATCAACAATTATCCAAACTGCTCGCACAGCTTTTCACAAACAAGATATCAGTTTATTTCACTCTGTTTCTGTATAACACAGCTTCTGTCGGTTGACAATATATATATATCTTGTTAATGTTTGATTATCTATACACAACCATTATAAGCCGTAGCATGTGAATATCCATAGGGTAGTCGAAGTAAACAGTAATTTAGCATCAAAAACACATGTTCCAACCACCTTAGTTAGTAAGGACTCACGCTAAATAATCAAAAACCTAACTCATATAACAAAGACTTCTACTACCAAATACATTGGTGATTTAATAGACAGACATCTATCTCTAGTACACCTTTACAACGTGTAAGTCCTAAAATGTTAATTGAGAACTTCAAATATGTTTAAAGTTTGTCATCAGCCTTCAACCCGTTAGTGTTGCTAAGAATTCCAAGACAAGTGAGATGGTCTCAAGGTTCGATTATTTCAGTACTTAAGATATCTTCGAAAGATCACTTCCTTATAGCGGGAACGCTTACCCGACATGAACTGATATTCAGTACTGAACTAGAGCTAAAAGCTCATGAAGCCATTGATGAAGAAGATTATCTGGGACCAAATTACTTAACATCAGAATACATATAAAAATCCATTTATGATAGATTAGTTTTTTTTCACTAGATTTAGATATTTTATACTTACAGGCCATATATTGTTCACATAGTGATTTTCTTCTCAATTTTCGATTTATCCCAATATAATTTACTTAATTTTTTCACGTTTAAGAAAATGAAGTGGAAGAATATTTCTCACCGAAAGATTTTCATATTGGTCAATCAGTTAATATTCTTGGTCGGAAATATTTAATATATGATTGTGATAATTTTACAAAAGCATGGTATCATAATAATTTTGGATTAACAGAATTTACTCCATTAGATATAGAAATTAAACAACCGGAATTACCGAAAAAGGTTAGTTAAATGTATATAACCTTTGTGTAATTATGTATATATAATTTCATCAATGAACTCATCAAGAATTGAACCGTGGACCTATTAACCTCATTTTATTCATAGTACATTGAGTTGAATTCTAGTTAATTACAATTTTAACTTTAATCAACTCAAGATAATGTGTGACCAATGTTAATCATCAACATTCTTCATAGCTGTCAATGATGCATTCTATTTTCTTTGGGGTTTCGATAGCTTTTTATTTTATCTTGATATACTTATAAAGTACAGCTACATGGTTTACTTTATTGTTCTACTACATCTTCAAATATTTCCAATTTACTAAGTTTTAGGTAGAACAGCTGATTCATCATTGAACTTAACCAGATAAATCAACTATAGATAATAAAGATTAAATGTTAACCATTTTATTTCAAAACCCCTCATTATTACAAACAATAATGATTATAAATAAAAATTTTAATTGATACTTGGAGTTTATCAGTATAATATAACTGTCGACTAGTATTTGTTCAATATGGAACTTTAAAATGAGTTAATACAAATCATACTACTTACTGACAAAAAGTACTACAGATTGTCGTAAGCACTTGAAGATAACCACGTCATTGTTAAAAGGCTTACTGTCATAATTCCTCTTGGATTAGTTATACGTTATAAAATCGATGTACGAGTAGTATGAATGGTTGATCCTTACCATAAAACTTAACAGAATAATAAAATGCTGCATTTCACTACGTTTTATGTTATTCTATCATTTACAGCTACATAAAAATGGATGGTTCCTCATTTCCATGATATTTTTGATAAATTTCTATTGTTACAAATGGTTTGTAAGAACTAAAACACTTTGTTGTATTATCAATTAATGAGACATAATGAACCCATCTGTCATAAAATCCAAAGCCTATTTTTTTACAACATAAAATATAAATTTTTATTGAAGTAACTATTTGAAGTACATAAATAAAGTTCATTTTTAAAAATTTGACTTGTATGCATAGGAGAACGTTATTTTTTAAAACTTGAATTACATTCTTCTTAGGTAACTTGTTGTTTAACAAAGTGGTTCAAAGTTTTATAGTTGGTACACGATAAAAACATAAGTCTAAAATCAATGACAGTTCATTTGATATGAACTAGAACAAGTCACTAAATATTGAATAGTCAACTTTGATATTCATAACTAATAGACTAGATATAATATATAAGAAACTTTGACCTATTTTAAACAAATAGTTTCACAATAGTTGAGACCCTAATATATGGAAAACAGTAAAAAGAAATTAAATCAGCAAAAGTCTTGGTGACGGAAATTAAAATTTTGTTTGAATCTGCCTCTGATAACCATGTTTTTATTCATCACAAACATATATATATATATATATATATATATATATATATATATATATATATATATATATATATATATATATATATATATATATATATATATATGTACTAATCCATTTATTCATTCTCAAACCATACATGCTCAGATTAGTGGCTAACATTCAGGACATTCAGATAGTAGCCAGGACCTATGTATGCCCAGTGGTTTCCAAATATAATCCGGGTAAAGAAACGCATTTCTTCATTGACTACAGTTAAAATGCATCTCACACCAAACATTCTCATTTTAAAAATTTATATTTAACATAATTCAATACTCTTTTAATATACTTTTGTTTTATGATCTTATTTATATTGGATAACTTTGATTTCTCGTTACTTCCTTTAAGAAGCACTTACAAAATTTTCAAATGAAACAGATTTATTTTTAATTTTAAACGCTGAGATTTTTTACAAATATAGTTTCATTTTTAATGGATGTTTTTGCGGCTTCTACGAGAAGTTATTTCTACTTTATATAGCTAAGCAGTAATATATTTGACTACTATCCTATGATAAATGGATTTCACTTTTAGATGAGATAGGTAGTATAGTTTATTTTAGAGTGTTGGTAAATACAAAATCTAGGTATACAATTTATTATCAATCTCTATGATGTGTTTCTACTTTCGTAATGGAAAAAAAACGTGATTGGAAACATCTTTGACCAACTTGGAAGATACTAATATTTCAACTCTCATGGTGGAATTTCCAGCCATTTAATGGTGGAAATTCAACGAATAGTCTCATCACGCTATATAATGAGTTCACTAGTTCGTAAGACTTTTATCCAGTTGTCCAAAGGTTATACCCTTGCCAAGACATTTGAAGGTTCTAGATCTAATTCTATGTTAGCTAGTGGGTGCGATCTTTTGGGAGTCTCAAACCAATATTCAAAGGGATAACTCAAACGTTTACTAATATTAATATGAACATTATGCTTGATGAACATGGTAATAGCTATCTGGACCTAGTAGCTCAATGAATATCACATTGGTTTCTTTAGCGGAAGCTTATGGCTTTGACTTCCAGTATGAATACTAAAATGGGTGCAAGTACATAGAACTTATGCGTCTCATACATATCACGCACTCCACTGCTACCCATAATCCACTTTCTCTCATTATTTATTTACACTTAATGTTTTCAGTGTATTTTCAACACTTTCTTTTTCTCGTTAACATAGGAAATTCCACCATATAATGGCTTTGGAACAATTGAAGATAGTTTAGTATCTACAAAATCATTCATTTTAAAACCTCCAAAAGTTGATTTCGCAAAACAGGTGGATTATGCACAAAAAGTGTTGAGATATGAAGCTCGTTTAGTAAGTATGAAGGAATATCATTATTGTTGAATTGTTTTTCATTGCTATTTGACTTACTTTTATAAAGTCTAACAATTTTTCTCTTGAGGATACTCCATTATTTCTTGACAATTTCTTTTGTAAACTTTATTCGAATGATGTGAAAGAGGAATTTTAATGTTGATATTAAGAAATAGTATCAAGCTATGAGATAAGTGAATTGTGTCGTTTTCGTGAATTTATTTGTGAAATTAGGTCTAAAGCTTTCCAGCATAGACGTTGGTAAGATAATAAGTATGAATTGAGTAAGGTGATTGGGGCGTGAGTTTTATATGGCTCGTTGATCTGACTGCAATTTGACCGAGTGACGATGTTAACGAAATATTTATCCCGGCTACCTTTGTACGCAATTATCAACTTAATACGTGTTAGTGAATAACGGAATAGAATAAGTCGAATGCGAAAATGAATTTCGGATACGTATATTTCATACAATCGTTGATCCAGGCAGACAATCAAGGAAACACAGCGGAGAAGCAGGTCGCAGAAGGCAAGTGTCCTGAGTTAATTTGATAAAGCGTAACTCAATATTTATAGTCAGACAAAAATAAGCTAAATATATTTGATGAATAGAGTAAGCGATACACACATGCGCTCACATAAAAAGTCAAGGTCAGTAAGCGAATGATTGACAAAGTCAAAATGTAACTCGAGAAGAATGGATAAATCGGTCTGTCCAGAAACTAGAATAACCAATGTGTTACTCCACTTCCTATTGAATGTGTGAAGTTTATCATCGTGGGATTCAGTTAAAAAGAGGAAGGATCTTTTGAACTAAACGCGTTAAAATGGCTGGGGATTAGCTACATGATGTCAAGTCATCTAAGTGTATCATGGTCAGTGGTTACGGTCATGTTTTCGTCCATCTAGTCACTCAGTTGTAAATATTTCGGAATACTACCTATCATAGAATTAATTGGAGGTATTACTTTTGGAATGTTGTAATTTTTTTCCATCGTGACTGACTGCGCTACACTTGACACGTCCGTAGCATGATAGAGTGGTATGTTATTCGTAGAAAACTGTACATTTTTGTGTAAGCTAGTGAAAACTACAGAAGATGAAACACGTCCTCCATCAAGAATTACAACAGTGGTTTGTTACTAGCTGCCAGGTCAACATTGCGAACAAGAGTGTTCGTCTGGTTTCTAACTGTTACCTTAACTTGTACAGAGTAATGCTTTACTTTGTTATACGAATGTTAAAGATTTTGTAAATTAATGACTGAAAAATCTTTGACGAATTTATTCAAAAGTGATAAGATTATAAAGCATAATTTATTTTCCATCTAAATAACTGTCTTTTCCATCCACGTTCACTATCCTTTTTTTAACAAATAGATTTCCATAAAAATTGAGGATTATTACATGATTCTGATCATAGCTAAAAAGTAAATTTTGTGTATTGTATTAAATATTTGAATTTTCTGAACTATCTCCTATCTATAATTTACGAAAATAACTGTTTATTTAAGCCTCGGACATTCGTAAATGTAAACCCCTTTTATGTGTACAAAAACCATTTGTCGTAACTGTTATGATTTTATGTCCGGCCTTTTTATCACAGGATCTACCCACCAATCAAAATACGACTTATACAATCTTAGAACTGTACCAAAACCAATGACGATCGACCGGTATGGGCAGTCTAGCGTCTTTACTGAACCTATGTCTACCTAGCCCGTCCACTTGAGTCCAGAACACTAATACAAGCTTCCAATTGCGAATCATTTATTTCAGACATATTGAGTTTATATATCAACCAAACAGACCGCAACGCACCATAAAATAGGAAATAACATTTGTACACAATTAAGCCAAAAAGTGACTGTGAATGTGGGAGGCAGTAGTTAATAAACTGAGCATAATTTAGAGACAATAAATCGTACAATAATAAATTATAGGTCAAAATGAAGCTCATTATAAGGGGAATATAAATATACAAAAAATATATATATTGAATAATTATACAATAAGAATATTTATAGAATATTAGTCCATTAATCGTCCTCGGAACTTACCTGTAATTTAATCTTCAGTAGGATGTAACAGTAACCCTGACTTTACCCTGGTAACCCTTACGTCATTTTATGGCCTAGGATAGTGAGACAATTTCATATTCTTTCTATACGATGTAAAATGTTTCTCTTCCCTTTGAATTATTATTTAATTGACCTTTATTAATTTTCATATAAAATGCCTTGACAAGTATATGTGTAACCAAATTGTTCGAAATGTATAACACAAATACATTACACTTTTTAGATTAACTCCATCTTCTAATTGCTCTATCAACATTTATAAAACGTATCAATTGCTTTAAATAATCGTTTAGTTTATATTCAAATGATAATCTAATTTCGAAGTCACTACCAAAGTTCATTGTTAAAATAAAATTCCTTAGTTTATCTTTACTAAACTGATTCATATTTGAGTAAATTTTTGTTGTTGTTGTTGTTGTTTTCTCTCATAAAATTCGCTATTATAAACATCTAATAATCATGGATCATTTTCAATGATAAATTAAGTTTTGTATTTTCTGATTGTGAATTTCTGTTGTGCTTTGTTTTTTGATACTCTTACTGTATAAATTCTTTTGTTTTATTGTCTGCTATGAATAACTGCTTATTTATGCATGTACATGCCAGTTCAAATGACAGGAAAACAAGAGAGAAAAAAGACAGAATACATTAAACAAGAAGTCAAATGCGGGTTACAATACAATGTTTTGGTTGTTTTTATTATAATGATCATTTCAGAATAATTAATTTTGATAGTAAATTTATTAGTATATAGTATGTCTTTACTAATGTATCAACACAATACGAAAGTCAGTCAGTAACAACGTAGAACTTCGTAAGTACGTACGTCAGTTCGAGTTGCCATACCACATTAGCACAGAGATGCAGTGGTCGATTCAAACCCCGTAGTGGCAGAGGTAGTAAGAGTACAAGCAGTAATCGGGAAGATTAGTGTTTGGAGATGTTATTTAAGGAATATAATCCAGTAAAATAAATTTGGAAAGAGAAAAAAGAGACAAGGAGGAATCAGAAGATTAAAACTTGGGAGAACACAAAGAGTGTATGCACCTGCGCCATTGCAAACGATTTTGAGCCATGTCATTCAGGGTCTCTAACCATCGGTTGCTTTAATCATTATAATTTAATTTTATTCAATGTTAATCCTCTATGAAGGGTAACATGCGTGCGTAGTAAGTAAGTACAAGTTTATGTAATCAGTTTTGAGCTACACTGTTTTCTTCAACACTAATGATATTTTAATAGTTGAGACCACCATGGAAAACGTGGAAGCACTGGACGGCCGCTTCGTCCTATTGTGGGACTCTTCGGCACTGCACATCCACGACCCCGCCTCGCGGGATGTGAACCGAGGAAATATCAGTCTCCCATCCAAAACTGTTGATACTAATCAATATATGCTCACTAGTGACTGGCTTCAAGATGTACATTCTGGAGTTCTAGTGAGAAGCAGTGAACAGTAGGGTTCAACCAGGTCTGTTGTGAGATAGTAACTCACTGAAGACAATGGTGGATGTGTCGCTCGATTTCGTGGATCGGTTGAAGTTGGACATTAACACCGTTGGATACCGGTCGGCTCAGTGGTCTAGTGTTTAAGCCTTCGCGCGCAAGACTGACAGGTCCAGGGTTCGAATCCCGCGAGGCGGGGTCGTGGATACGCGCTGTTGAAGAGTCCCACAAAAGGATGAAACGGCCCTTCAGTGCTTCCAGGTTTTCCATGGTGGTCTAGCTTCAATTGACTCATGATCTCAACCATTGAAATTATATACAATAGTTGTATATCTAGCACTTCAAGTTTATCATACTTTATCCCCTTCCACAGAAATCTTAAGCAGATATTTATTTCTCAACTTTGTCTAGTAGATTGTTTTGTAACATGCTACGACATCTCTCCATAATTTTTAGTTAATTTATGAATATGATTTTCTTATTCCAGTGGAATGAATTTATTTGTTATGATGGAGATTATGTCACTGTATTTTAGTTTGTGATATACCTCATTTCTATTGACTTACTTATCGAGTAAGATAATATTAGTGTATTTAAACAATTTAAATAATCTATTTAATTGTTTGTGAGATGTTCTATCTAATTCAGAAGGATTCTTCAATATTCGGGTTTTCTCAAACTAATGTATATAAATTCTCTAAACTTTTACTCTGTTGAATATTTTCTTAAATCTTATCCATAGGCTTTTAAAATTCATTCATAAGCACAGTAAAATTATAGGTAATCAGCTGAACATACACTTCGTCTAGATCTACATATATCAAATACTGTAAATACGGTAAATGGTTTAAGTTACCAAAATGTTATGTTTAAGATAAGTTTAGGGTTCAAACTAATTTTTTATCAGTGTGTAGTTCAGCTATCGCACATTTAACAGCAACTATTTAAAGTAATTGAAGAAGTCAACTAGGTTTTCGACTGAAGACCTCGACTAAGAATATTGTATGGCAAGGGTGGTACATCAGATCAAGAAAGTAATTAGATTTATTCATAGTGCTTGAAGGTAGGATATATTGACTAGTGAATTACTTAGTTAGTTAGTTAGTTCCTACTTACTTACCTGCTTACGCCTGTTACTCCTAATGGAGCATAGGACGCCGACCAGCATTCTCCAACCCACTCTGTCCTGAGCCTTCCTTTCCAATTGGATCCAGTTAATGTTCATTCTTCTCATGTCTGTCTCCATTTCTCAGCGTAATGTTTTCTTTGGCCTTCAGGACTCCATGTGAGGGCTTGTCTTGCGACACAGTTCGGTGCTTTCCTCAATGTGTGTCCTATCCACTCCCAGCGATTCTTCATGATTTCTTCCTCCACTGCGATCTGGTTTGTTCTCTCCCACAATAGGTTGTTGCTGATAGTGTCTGGTCAACGGATCCGAAGTATTTTGTGTAGAAAGCTGTTAATAAACACTTGTATCTTCTGGATGATGACTTTCGTAGTTTTTCAGGTTTCCTCCCCATACAGTAGAACTGCCTTGACATTTGTATTGAAAATTCTGACTTCGGTGTTGGTTGAGAGTAGTTTTGAAATCCAGATTTTCTTCAGCTTTAAATATACTGCTCTTGATTCGCTCCTTCACATTTGCATCAGATCCACTGTGCCTCCAAAGCTTCTCTGTCGAGTGTGATTTGATTGGTGCATGCTGTGTTGTATTTGAAAATCTTGCTTTTCCCCTTGTGTATGTTGATACCTACTGCTGCTGAGGCTTCTGCTACACTGGTCGTCTTCTCCTGCATTTGTTGTTGCGTTTGCGATAGAAGAGCCAGATCATCTGCGAAGTCCAGATCGTCCAGCTGCATTCTAGCTCTCCATTGTATCCCATGCTTCCCCTCAGATGTTGAAGTCTTCATGATTCATTCGATCACCTGGGGAAAAAGAAAGGGTGAAAGTAAACAACCTTGTCTAACTCTCACAAAAAAAGCTAACCAGAAAAATTTACTAGTGAATACTATTTTCGAATTCACTACCTGATACATTTACATCAAATCTTATCACAAGTTGCCACCACAATTTACTCTTCTAAACTACCTGCACACAATATCATTTCTAAAAACCTATGAAATCTCCAATTACAAAATTTAGCTTAAAATATTTTCTTATAATTTTGAAAAATTTACTTTTCAGTAGGTAATTTGTTCCTTCAGTCAAATGCTTAAATTTCCATCTAAATTATTTTACTTACTTTTCTTACTCTCAGGGCAGAGTTTAAATGGTTTGAATTATTTTTTTTTCTGGTTAGCGTTTGTTTTTATCGAGTCAGTTTACTACGAGAATGGGGTTGATAACCCCATGTCTAACCCTCCTCCTTTATCCGGTCTTGGGACCGACCGTAGCTCGGTTCATATTTAAAATAGTTAAATTTTAAATTTTCAGTGAGACTATAATCTACATTTAGTTTATTATTCAAATAATGGAATTGAAAATTAAAAGCGTTTCAATGTCAAACACTATTAACTATATATTTATCAATCTGTATAATACCTTATAAACTATTTAACATTTAACATTGAAATGAATATTAACACATTAAATGTGGATTATTAAATCGATTCAAACAAATTTTAACTAAGTTAATTAATTAGTAATTGAATAAAATTGAAAAGTCACGTTTACTAAATTAAATTTTTACATTCATTAATTTGATTTTTATTTTTAAAAAAAAACACACCCTTGTTTTAATTATTTATTTTCAAATAGTTTATTATTCATTGTCTATTTTAATGGTTCAATTTTATGATTAATTCATTTTATTTTATTAATTAGATCATTTAGTTTGACTTATTAGAAACTATTATGAAACATTCAATTTAACAATATAGTTTTTGTTGTCAGCAACTTTATAATGAGATATGCTCTTTGTTGTGACTTATTTACTTACATTTGTTACTCCTTGTGGAGGAGCATAAGCCACTCACCAGCATTCTCCATCCAACCCTGTCCTATGCAATTTTTTCCAGCTCTTTGCAGTTGTTATTCATCCTTTTCATATATGATTCTATTTCCAGAAGTAACGCGCTCTTTGACCTTCCTCTATTCCGCTTCCCTTCAGGATTCCAAGTTGGAGTTTGTCTGGTGATGCAGTTTGGTGATTTGCGTAATGTATGCCCTACCCATTTCCATCGTCTTTCCCTAATTTTCTTCTTCAGCTGAAAGCTGGTTTGTTCTTTCCCACATTAGGCTGTTGCTGATGATATCCTGCCAATGGATGTTGAGTATTTTGCGTAGATAGCTACTTATAAATACTTATATCTTCTTGATGATGGTTGTAGTAGTTCTCCAAGTTTCAGTTCCCTAAAGCAGAACTGTTTTGACGTTAGTACTGAAGATTGTGACTTTGATATTGGTTGAAAGTTGTTTTGAGTCCTATATGTTCTTTAATTGTAGGAATGCAGCCCTTGCTTTGCCGATCCTTGCCTTTACGTCTGCATGTGATCCTCTTTGTTCATCGAAGATGCTTCCCAGGTACGTGAAACATTCCACATTTTCCATAGTTTCGCTATCAAGTGTGATCGGCTTGGTGTTCTCGGTGTTGAATTTGAGGACCTTGGCTTTCCCCTTGTGTATGTTGAAGCCTACTGATGCAGAGGTTGCTGCGACACGAGTTGTCTTCGACTGCATTTGTTCGTGTGTATGGGATAGGAGGGTTAGGTCATCTGCGATTGCGACTTCAGGGCCGGCCTTTTAATACATGATTTATCTGCCAATCGAAATACGACTTATTCAATCTTAGTACTATACCAAAACAATGACGTTCGACTGGTATGAGCAGCCTAGCGTCCTTATTATTCCCTTGTTCGCCTAGCCCGACCAGTTGAGTTCAGAACGCCAATAACAGTTTCCACTATGCAAATCATTTATTTCAAACATGCTTGGTTTAAATACCAGTCAAACATACCGCATCCCATCCTAAAATAGAAAATAACATTTATACATGATCAAGCCAAAAAGTGGCTGTGAACACGGGAGACTGTAATCAATGAACTCAACATAACTTATGAACAGTAAATCGTATAATATTATTAATCTATAGGTCAAAGTGAAGTCTGTGATAAGAGGAATAAAGATATACATAATCTAGTTATTGAATAGTCATACGATAAGAATATATATTGAATACTGGTTCATTAATAGTTCTCAAAAGTTGCCATTCATAATTTTTGCCGGGATATAGCACTCGAAACATTTTCACTCAATGTCTGGTTCTTTATTTCTTCCATGAATATTTTTCAACTGATTTCCTTAAACATATACGTAGTCAGATTTGAGGTCTTACATATTTAGGAAGTACTTAAAACTAATGATCATCGAACAAAATCTTTGTTATAGTATTTATCTTTTCTTCTTAAATCAAGAGTGACTTTTTTTAAAGCCAATTAATCCATTTATTTCTATCACCCCATTGATAAGGTTTGTAGACACATTAAACGGGAAGAATTTTCAAACGTTTAGAAGTTCTTAACCATTGATCTTCTTAGTTTTCTTTCTGACTATACAAAACAGGTTGTTGCCTAAACTAGTACTTTTCCACAATATATATATATATATATATATATATATATATATATATATATATATATATATGCTTCTGAAGATGATTCCAATCGTTTAAAAATTTTTTGAGAATCATCAACTAATAGATAGTCAGTTACTTTCTGTTATTGTTTGACTCCTGATCAATAACTAAATTAGGATTGGGATGAACAACAGTAAATTAAAATAGCTTACCACAGTGAATAGTGAATCAATTACCATGAATTTTATCGTAAGCATTATTGAAATGTTATAATTAAACAATGATTAAGGATTCATATTATTTATATTAGTGTTATTACAAAAATGTTTATTGTTTTAAAATAATGTTGTTATGACTGTTTAATTTTACTAGACTGTCTGATATTTTGTTTAAAATGATTGAAAAACGTAAGAATATTCAAATATGTTTATGTTTATTTACTAACAATCATGAACATACACCGAGAATTTGCTCACATCATTCCACAGATAGTAAATTTTACTTAAGAAAAAATTAAAGATCTTCATCATAAGTTATGTTTATGTTCGTTTCTAACCTTATTATCAAACTTGTTACATTCTTCTTAAGAAAAAAAAAGTATTTCAAAAGTTTCAGATCATTTTTGAGAATATGGTACTTCACAATTGATTGATCACTGGGTGGTACTCAATGTCATGCTTGTCTAGTCCTTATTAGTGCAGCGTCAGCAAGGTGTACCTGTAATCTTGAGGGAACTGATGCTGCCTGGCGGATTACGATCTCGTGTCACCCAGCTTCACAGTCAGAGACGTTACCACTGAGCTATCCTAGCCGTGACTGACGAGTGCCAAGTAGCACGAAACCCGGGTCCAGGGTTTCCTGTTGACTACCTCCAACTACCATCTAGAATATGGTACTTCTATATTGAATGTATATTAATTAGCTGATGTGTTCACTTATGTATTATAGCAGCTCGCATGCAATTAAATTTGTTCACATTTAATCTGGTTAAGCCCTTTTGTTCATTTATTTAACGGATAGAGTCATCTGTACAATAACAATTCATCTATACTATTGTACCTTAATTATTGTTAAATTTGTAAGAATATGTATACTTGGACATTGCTTACTGCCTACGTATATATATTCATTCTGTTAGCCTTCTTTTAACCGCTTAATTGATTCGATGATTCATTCATTTCACTATGTATATGTATATATATACATATGTACATTTTAATCCTGTTCATTTACTCGGTCATTCGCTTACCCGCTTGCCTTTCGGTACTATTCTTTCACACTTGCTTAGCGGAGCTGTCATTTTGGTTATCTTTGCGTGGTGCAATAATAAATTTAATCAACACTTCGTATTTGCCTTCTGATTAATACACCGTTGGGATTTTATCTAGTGATTGTTATCAGGACGAACTGTATACGAAGTTTAAGGATTATATTGAATACCACCACAGTATATTTTGTATTTATTCCAAATTTACAATTCAAACATTCGACTTGAGTACTGTTGATTACGTTGAAATAGATGTCAGTATCATTTCGATTTTTATGTTTAAACACAAAAGTAACACAGAAGTACATCTAGTTTACCATATTAGTATAAAATGATGTATATATTAGATAAAATGCTTGAACATAATACTAAACTAAATTTCTAAATGATCTGCTTGTCATTAGAAATAAAACATCGTAGATCTACTTTCATAAGAAACTACAAATAAAGTGTATGACAAAATGAACTTAGGTATATGTTCAAACTTTATTGATAATCCATTGGCTGTATATCTTGTGTGACAACATAAAAATGTTTCATCTTATGGAAATACATTATTTTTCATTTTTGTCCTTGTAGGATAGTTTTCGACCTGAAGATGCATATCGACGATTTATCATATCGTATCATCTGGCTGATGATATGATATCAATTTTTGAAACTCCGATAAGAAACTCTGGTTTCCCTGGTGGGACATTTCTCAAAAGATCAAGGTAAAACATGGACTAGATTGTTTCCGTAAATTTTTGATATTTTATCTAGTTGATAGTTTTGAGGAAGTCACAGTACAGTTAGCTACATCAAAGGTGTAGTGGCCTGAGGTCTGACTCCAGGCAGGTCCTTTGCTGCTTTTATCGAAATATACATGTCGCCAATCCTCGTATATAATCATCTATTCAAATCGCGTTGGTGAATAGCGGAATTAAACAAGTCAAATGCGAGAATGGATTTTTGAATACGTATATTTCATACAATCGCTGAACGGAAAGCAAAGCAAAACAAGCAATGGGTAAGGCGAGTGAGTCAGCTCAGTTCAGCCAAGCGTTAACCGACATTTATAATCAAACAAAAATAAGTTAGACACATTACGAGTAAGGTACGTAATTAGCACACATACATTCATATAAAAGACAGTCAGGATTATTAAGCGAATAAGTGACAGGGTGAAGGTGTAGTTAGGACGATTTAATAGATTGATCTGTCCAGAATTTAGAATAACCTATGTGGGCTTGACACAGTACCAGCCCCTACATGTTTATTAATTAATAAGACGTTACTTGGTTTTCACAGTGCTTTTGGCTCAGGACGAACTATATGATGGTAAGACACGGTAATCGATTGTAGGAAAATGATAGTGTTTTATTTAGACCAACCTACTTACCTTTATATCATTACGTCAGTAACTATATTATTTCGATTTAAGTTATTCACATGTTCGTGACCGATCATTTCACTAAATAGTTCTCAATCATGAGAGTATATAGGGTCACAACTGGAGTGAAAATTTCAAGGTCTTCTTTTCGACGCAAGCCTTTAAGTACCTGAATTTGAAGCAAAGGGCCAAAATAGAGTAAATTGGTTTCATTTATCAAGTCTTGTTACTAATGCATGCTCTAAACTCTCTATCAGTACAACAAAGTAGAATACAGATTTTTGTTTTATCATATAAGTGACACCCGTAGTTAATATGTTTTTACTATGTCTAGGATCTTCCACACACCACATTTGTGTACGCTGATCGTAGTCAAAATAATAACCAGTTGATCGTTACACCTAACTCTCTCATGTATTTGACACCTCATAATCTCTTATTATTATGACTTACAAAGTTCTGTTTGGATTAATCAATAAAATACAGTCAGTGACTGAAATTTAAAAGACTAATCCGCTGTGCTGTTTTTTCTAGATCGGGTAAATAGTTCATATTTAGCGCTAACGATGTATACATCGTGCTTCGTTATGCTAATATTTAAACGTAAGTCGGCAAACAATGGGATCTGTAGCAACCTCTGTTGCTAAGGTAAATGAATTGCTAATTACTGAAGTTTCTATGGTTAATCAAAGAGTTATGATGCACCATAATACATTGAATGAACATTTAGAAATGAAGCTTATCGGTTCGAGAACGTCTTTCCTGAGTATAGGATTATTCGATTAGTATATCTTTACTTAGTTAAAATATTTCCAAACATGTGCCACATATAAGCAATTAATAACACAATAAAGCACTTTCTAGGTCTTCACTATTTCAAGTTGATATTGAACATGGTTTATGAGGAACAACTACGAATAGAAACCTCTTTACGGTATCATATGTTCAAGAGACAGATTTACGTTAGAAGTAAACAACTACTAGTATCTATCTGCTGTAATACTAAACAGTATAAAAAATTTCTGAGAATGAAGGACGACATTGAAAGTGTGGCTAAATACAACAATAAAATTTCGATTATTTTGCCAGAATTTAATACTACTTTCATTACTTCCTAACGCCTGTTACCATACGTGGAGGAGGATAGGCTGATCAAGAGCATTCTCAATTCAAATATGACCTGGACAATCCCCTCCACTTGTTTCCATTTGACACTCACACCTTTGATGCACACTTCCATTTCCCAAAACATAGTGTAATTTGGTATTCCATTTTTCCATTTCCCTTCAGAGTTCCATGTTAATGCTTATTTCGTGATGCGGTTTGATGATTTCCACAATGTGTGTCCCATCCACTAACAACGTCTTTTCCTAATTATCCCCTCAATAAGAAGTTGGTTTATTCTCACACACAGTAGGCTATTGCTGATTATATCCGATCAAAGGACAATTAGTGTGTTGCGTAGACAATTGTTTGCAAATACTTGTACATTTTTGATGATGATTGTGGTAGTTCTCCATGTTTCAGTTGAGTACAATGGAATTGTCTTGACGTTCGTATTGAAGATTCTGATTTTGATAGTCGCTTGTAGACAGTTGTTTTGGTTTCGAGATGTTGTTCCACAGTAGGAATGTGATCCTTGCCTTTACGTCTGCATTGGATCCTCAATTGTTAATTGATGAGCTGGAAGCAGCAGCTGCATCTGGTAACTACCGGAAGCTCTTCCAGCTCATCCGAGCCACTGGCAGCAAGAAGTCTGGTGTGAGTGAAACAATCTGCGAGGATGATTGGATGCCAATCACTAAAATCCATCGACGTCTTGGACGGTGGGCAGAATTTTTCGAAGGGCAGTTCAACTGGCCTGCTGCTCCGCAACATCGGTCAGACTGTCCTGCCCTCCATGGCCGGTGACGACTGATCCACCAAACGAGGAGGAAGTCCGCAAGGGACTCCAACTCTTGAAGCGTTACAAATCACCTGGCCCAGATGACTTACCTCCGGCTCTTTTTAGGGATGGTGGTGACTTTTTGACTAAGGAATTGACGACGTTGTTTACAAAGGTTTGGGAACTAGAGAGTGTACCAACGTCATGGAATGAGTCGATAGTTGTCCCTATTTTTAAAAAAGGTCCACGTCGTTCCTGTAACCACTATCGGGGGATAAGTCTACTTCCGATTGCGTCCAAGCTATTGGCTTCCATCATACTTCGTAGGTTGTTCAAAACCTGAGAAAGATTGACTCGCGAGGAGCAGGCTGGGTTTCGTTCTGGTAGAGGATGTATTGATCATATCTTCACCCTCCGCCAAATGTTAGAACATCGCCATACTTATCAAAGGCCAACAATCGTAGTGTTTCTTGACATCAGGGCTGCCTTCGATTCGTTGGGCAGGACTGTTCTCTGGGATTGTCTATTGAAGAAGGGTGTCCCTGAGAAGTTTATTAACATCCTAAAAGCCCTATATAAAAACACCTCAGGCAGAGTGAGGGCATACAACCAACTCTCTCCATTGTTCCATTCGAGCAGTGGGGTTAGGCAGGGTTGCCCAATCTCACCATTCCTCTTCAACTTTGCCATCGATGACATTCTGGAAACAGCTCTGATGAATGTAAGTAATGGTGGTGTGAATCTGTTGCCTGGAGAAAGACTTCTCGACCTTGAGTATGCGGACGATATTGTCTTACTGTGCGATAATGCCCAAGGCATGCAATCCGCACTTAATCAGTTGGCAATCAGTGTCCGTAGGTATGGTATGTGCTTTGCACCTTCGAAGTGCAGAGTACTCCTACAAGACTGGCAGGATTCCAATCCTGTACTCACCCTGGATGGTGAAGTTCGTGTATCTGGGTAGCTGCATAAGTGCTGGTGGGAGTGTGAGTGATGAGATCAATGCACGTATAGTGAAAGCCAGAGCGGCTTATGCCAATCTGGGCCATCTTTGGCGCCTTCGTGATGTTAGTCTGACTGTAAAAGGTCGGATCTACAACGCGTCGGTGAGAGCAGTTGTGCTCTATGCTTGTGAAACCTGGTCTCTCCGAGTTGAGGACGTTAGATGACTCTCTGTGTTCGATCATCGCTGTCTCCGAAGGACTGCTGACATTCAGTGGCAACACCATGTTAGTAATGCAGAGGTTCGGCATCGTGTGTTCGGGCACAGAGATGACAATTCAATTGGTGTTATCATCTTGAAACACCGACTTCGGTGGCTTGGACATGTTCTACGAATGTCGTCCCAAAGAATTCCACGTAGTGCATTACTTGCCGACGCTGGGACTGGTTGGAAGAAGCGGAGAGGTGGTCAGTGCATGACATGGTGTCGTGGCATGAAAGAAAGCTGCAAAGGACCTTACCTTACACCAATCTCTTCGTTATTGTTCTCTCTTTTTTTTGGTTGCGCTCCTTAGCTTTTTTTTCTTTCTTTGTATTCAACTTGAATTTTCATTGTTTTGTGTGGTGCATATATATTGGCGCTCTCTTGTACCAATATTCATGTGTCCAAATAAAATAAAATAATAACAAATGTTAATTGATGATTTTGAAAATATCATGTCTGTGAATGTTTCCACCTGTTCCAGAGTTTCTCCATCAAGTTTGTTTGGTGTTGTCTGTGTTGTAGTTGAGGATCTTGCCTTTACACATGTGAATATTGAGGCCTAGTGATTTAGAGGCTGCTGCTACTACTCTGGTTTCCTTGACTCTGCGTTTGTTGTTATATTTGCGATGAAAGGGTGAGGTCATGTTCGGTGTCCAAATCATCTAGTTGTATACAAGCTGTCCATGCACGACTCAGCAGTGAAGTTCGTCGTATGTAATCTGTATGATGTTGACGATGTTTTCAGCTACTCACACTGTAGTGTGGAAGATGATTCCATAAAGTTCTTCTATTCACACTGTCAAACGATTTCTCATAGTCATTGTGGTTGATGTTTGGTGACGAGACGCACTCAATTGATTGTTCGACGGTGATATGTATTGTGCCCATTTGGTCTGTGCACGATTGATCCTTATAGAATCCGACCTGTTGATGTGGAAGTTGAGTGTCTACTAAATCTTTCATCAGGTTCAGCAACACTCTGTTGAAAACGTTTCCTCGTACCGATAATATTGTGATGCCTCTTTAGTTCTCACACCTGTTCAAATCTACATTATTTGGTATCTTGATGAGATATCCTTCCTTCCAGTCTAATGGCACTGTTTTACTGAAGAGAAATTCTTATCAGTGAATAGACTAAAATTCTGACGGTTCAAGGAATTTAGATAAAAATTTTATATCAAGTACACTTTCTGATAGGTCTTGCGAATTGAACGCTATATTCGTTTCCTAAGCTATTCTTTAATCCCCGAGCTAGAACTATACTGCGACCTGAACAACGAGAGAGAAAACTCAAAGTATGCGAGTAGTTTACTCCACGGTTCATTTCAATACAGAAAATACAGGGTTTTTATAATATTTTAAATGTCCTTGGGTTGCTAGAAGATTCTGGAATGCTACTAAACATAGTAGCAGTGTAGCAATCAGCCAATCAGTACCTGTGCATGTGACGTTTCACTTCCTTGATATTTTTGGCTAAAACTTCAAGTGAACGCTGAGGGAATGAAACGCTTCTTAGTGTTTCCTGATCCTTGCTTGTCTTTTGCAAGAAATATTCTGGATCACTCCAACACTTTCCTCGTAACGTTTTTTAGAAATTTAATTTAAAATGTTTATTAACTGCCGAGAATAATCAGCTACGTACCGTTTAAACAACTGTAACCATTTTTAAAAAATATAAGTTTATTTTGTTCAACACTTTGACGTGAAACTAAATGAAATTATGATTGAACATTACAATATGTTCCCGCATCCCGCGGGATTCGAACCCGGGACCTGCTGGTTTCGCGCACGAGCACTTAACCACTACATATTTCGAATCTCGCCAGGGGGGCCGGATCGTGGATGCGCACAGCTGAGGAGTCTCATACTGGAACGAAACGGCCGTCCAGTGCTTCCAGGTTTTCCATGTTGGTCTAGCTCCAATTGATTCATGATTTCAATCTATGAAATTTCTAAAATCTCCACAAACCCCTTCTGATAACATTACAATATGTGTTTAATTCTGTAACATAACCATAATAACGACTAAATCTTTATATTAAATAATAATTATTTTTCTTTAATTTATACTATATGGTTATCTCCCATAATATTCTCTTCTTTAATACTTTAGAGTTATGAAACCTGGAAGTACATTAGATAATCCAATTTATTATGGTCCTATAGATTTTTCAATTAATTCAAAAATTGATATATTTGGTACACGTTTCATTATAACCGATGCTGATGAATATGTTCTTAAATTTCTTGAAGCTAATCGTGATCAATTTTCTGATGAATTAATTAATGGTTTACATGAACATTTAAATAATAAAGAAAATCAAACAACAATTAAACAACAGTTTCATCATAAAGGAGGTAATGTTGACTTTAAACGAGAGTAAGTTGAAGTTAAAATCAACAATTTATAATTTGCATGTTTCTATTAATAATTTCTCTTTAAATCTAACTAATAATGAATTGACTAATCTAGTTACTTTATAAATACACAATTGATAGATAGCATAAAAAATCTCACATGTTCCTTATATACCAATCAGAACACTGGGAAAACCTTCCAAGTACATTTTATTATTCTGTATTATCCAGACTTGAAAACTTTTGTGATTGTTTACGTAGAACAAAAGACTAAAACCTAAAATAAATAATACATATCAATGTGTACACATGACTAACAGATTTATAATTAATTTACTCTAATGTATGAACGGTAAAAGATATTAAAAAAGGTTAAATCTAGAATGCTTACTTGTATACTATTAACAGGTGAACGTAAATGTATAACTAACTTGAATTCACGAGTCAATCTAAGCTAGACCACCACTGGAAACCTAAGAGCACCGGACGGCCGTTTCGCCTAGTATTTTCACGCTTAGTGTTATATCCCAGCAAAGATTAAATCACGAGTAACTTCTGAGATATATTAATTGACTAATATTATCTATATATACTTATGGTGTAACTATTCAATAACTATATTTTGTATATTTATATTCCTCTTATTATAAGCTTTATTTTGACCTATAATTTATTATTGTACGATTTACTGTCCCTAAATTATGCTCAGTTTATTAACTACTGCCTCCCACGTTCACAGTCACCTTTTGGCTTAATTGTGTACAAATGTTATTTCCTATTTTATGGTGCGTTGCGGTTTGTTTGGTTGATATATAAACTCAATATGTCTGAAATAAATGATTCGAATCGATTCGCATAGTGGGAGCTGGTATTGGTGTTCTGGACTCAAGTGAACGGGCTTGGTGGACATAGGACCAATAAGGACGCTAGACTGTCCATACCGGTCGAACATCATTGATTTGGCACAGTTCTAAGATTGTACAAGTTGTATTTTGTTTGGTGGATAAATCACGTGATAAAAAGCCGGACATAAACTCACAACACCTAGGCAGCGCGAATCCACGATCCCATATGTGGGACTCAAACTCAGGGCCTTCAGTCCCGTGCATAAACGCGTAACTTCTAGGACACTGAGCCGGGATATGACTCTGAAAATACTACTAGCTTCAAGATATACCACGTGAAGTTCTAGTGAGAAGCCATGACGGTGCGACTAAACTTTATGGACGACCTTTGAGTAACGCTAGCCTGACCTTGAGAGTGTCCACATGATAACTAGGACCAAATGAGGGTTATAAATTAGTGTGAGGAATTCGAATCATGATTTACAGCTGATGGTTGGGGTTAGGAATTAAATTTAGAGTTTTCATGACGAACTAACATCAGCTTTAATACCAAGACTCTATTTAGCCAAACGGATGAGTGAATCTGACTGGTTCATCCATAAATTATGGTCTCGCGGCCGTGACCAGTGAAGTCTGATCCGTATAGGATGTGAGAAAGTTATCCATTTCAGACAATGGATAAAGAGTTGAACAAGACCATGGATTAATTGAAGTTAGACACTGACATCGTTGGATACCAGCTCAGTGGTCTAGAGCTTAAGCGGTCGGGCGCGAGACCGAAGATCATGGGTTCGGATCCCACGCGCAGCATCATCGATGAGCACTTCTGAGAAGTCCCATACTAGGACGAAACGGCCACCTATTGTTTTCAAGTTTCCAATGGTGGCGTAGCTTAGATTGACTCGTGAATTAGACTTAAAAACACTACAATCTCCATAAATCCCTTAATTTAGTTTAGCCAGAGGGTTAGTCTATCCGATAGTACCCAGAATTTGCATTCAGTCAATGTTTAACATAAATATATGTCTTAGGGATATTTCACATATCGTCAAGAAATAGGAATGGATTAGGACTAACGTGATCTAACATCTGGAAACATCCTAACAATTTTCAACGTTATACGATATGTTCCTCGGACATGTAGATGTATGAGGATATGTGTCCTACCCATAGTTTAAAAATACCAGATATCCAATGTTTATACCATACAATTGAATAATTTGTCTTTCACTAATCATATGAACTATGAAAACCAGTAACAACAGACTAGTTCAAATAGTACCATATAAAAATTCTGACGTAGTACATGTACTAGTTTGAAGAATTCAATGGTATTGAGCGCTAATGTTTTGTTAACTTTCGGTCACTTAAATGGAAAATGACCAATTTTGAGTAAGTAAATCAAAGGGTAATACACGAACGGAATAATTTTGCGTGTACTCCAAAAATAGTCTATTTAGAAAATACTGGAAAGTACTGGATTGGAATAGTTGGAAAACCATTAATTGTAAACAAAGTTTGCAGTTGAATTCATTTGATTGATGGTAGTCCCCGTACATGTTTCACGTAAGTGTCAGAGGACAACACAAAATCCTTTCGTGTTTACGTAAGTGTAAAACGAAGCTTGTTGTAAGCTAATAATTAGTAAATGCGTTCAGAACTTGTGTGTTAAGTTTAATTTAAAAACTCTCTATTATAGACAGTCAGATGAGGATTAGTACAGACATGTTAAATTCACACAAATGTACACCTATTTCAGAATACAGAATCTGATCGAGCATTTGACTGTCAAATGCACTAGTAATTCAGTTTTATTGTCTAAATTGTGCTCACTTGTATGTCTAATTCGATTGCCTATATTTATATTGTTGCGTAAGGATAAACATCTGTTCTCAGTGTTCAATTCAAATGCGATATTTGGCATTTTCTAACTTCATTTCGTTCATTTAATGTATTAGTGCTGGATATAAGAGTGCAATTTTCACTGGACGTTTCATTCTAATTATCTAAAAGTGTTTACATGTACCTTCTATAAAAAACTTCACTGTAGATCAACCCAATTTGCCATATGGAAAAAAACAGATAAAGCAAAGTTAGAGCTTGAAATGAAATCTCCAGTCAAAACTATCATCTTATAAGCACCATTCACTCATCGGTACATGTCAGCTAATTTAATTACTTAAATATACATTCAAGAATATTACCATTCAAGTTCTTATTATAATTCATTTATAATTGGTCATCAAGTAGACGGAAACAAAAACAATTATTTGGGTTGGTGCTATTTCTTAGCATTAATTAATTAAGTTTTACGTATTTTAAGCTGATGAGTCCTACAAAGCGCAATAGCTTAGTATATGATTTGCTGATTTTAGAACAACAATTGTTTTCAATTAGATCGTTATCGGGCTTTCTTCTAATATACATGAGCCTTTATACGTTTGACCTTCTATTTCCAAACTCGAACTATTGATAAGACTTTCGTTATCGTATTTTATTGTTCTTACTACTATCAGTACACATGTCTTCCCACTATCAACTTATACTTTTACCTATTATGTGCGGTGACGTGTCTTATTTCATTGTGATTTTTGACCCAAAGAGCCTTGATTGGTTTAACATTTTCGTATAAATATTCATGCATATTAAATAAGGCCTGGTGAAGATCTAATTGAAAACAATTATTCGCTTACATGTGTTGTTTTTATTTGCTGATTTGTAGCTGTTAAATAAAAAAAAATTGGTAGACTAGTAATCGTTTCCTATTGATACTCCTATTGTTCAGAAATTCAATGACAAACAATAAATCTCAATTACAAAGGTCAAGACTATTTCAATCGTACACATAATTGTGCATCATAACAGCTACTTGACAGGAACTAAGGTGATGGAGACTCTATACGGCTTTGTTTTAATTGTTTTTGAAAATATGGTCACGTTCAAAGACAATGACGGATTAAATCATACAGCTAACACATCCAATTAGAGAGATTTCACTTCATTGAAGCTAACTGCGTATTAGGAAACAAAGCAAAAAATAACCTGTTTACCGAAACTAGTTTGTCATCAACTTTTACTGAGAAATAAATTGATATAAAACCTTTTCCTCTACAGGACCTGGACCCTCTGATAAACAGACATTTTAGTGTATGTCCATTAATCTCAGTATGCAATCAGTTTTCTCAATTTTATGTGAGTTGAGAAACTAAAATTCTGTTTAGTTTGAATTATGAAACACACCGGTTGATAGTAGGAAACAAGCTCTATAATTACTTTCATTTCCATAGTCTATCTTACATCTCAGACGTGAATCACTTTGTAGTCCGTTTCATATCTTGTTGTAAACGTAATATTGTATTTACTGTAAACAAATTACATTCCTGTCCAATAATCAAAGCTAAGAAGTCAAATATCATCATTAATTTGCAGAAAGTAGCCACCGTACGATCCAGGTGTGTGTTCAAGATGAAACTTCGACTAGGACACATTCACCTAAGTCAGAAATTTGTTTTATTCAGCAGTTTCTACTTTATTTATAATTAAACTAAGTGTATAATTATTTCCTGAATATCATGTGTATAAAACATCCTTTTAAAATAAGACTAATAATAATTATTACTATCATTATTGGATTCGGTTAATTGTTCAATGTGATTTTCTCAGAGATGGTGATATTAACGATATTATGAATGAAGTTAGAATGCAACTAAAGAAAATGTCAATAACAGATAAATGTAGAATTGATGATATGTTTCTTACATATAATAAAGACAGACGTGGTTGTATTGATATTGAAAATTTGAAAGACATGTGTAAGAAAATCCACATTCCGCCAGATGAGGATGTACTCAAGGCGGTAAGTAACCTAATTTAATGAAAATTGATTCTGGTAATAAATGATTGCTTTCTTCAATCAGTAGTTATTCTTAAAAGTAATTTTGAGAATACGTTTGAGTAGAAATGCAGAATTGAGTCAGAGTTTTGTTACACAGATTTCAGAATATTATTATGGGTTTGTTAGATCTGAGAAGATAATGTATATCACTTTATCGATTAACTAATCAGAACTCCTGTTATGTTTTACCGGGTGAAAGCTATTTTGTTTACGGCCAAGTGTACAAGGCCTTGATGGATGATCCCGACATACTCGATTAAACTTGAGCAAACAATCTCGACTCCTATTGGTTAGCTAATAAGCACTCTTTCTTTTTGTGTAGGCATGAAGACAGCCTACAAGCTTCTACCATTCATTGTTCTCCGCACACTCGGGTTCATATACGGACACATTAGACAGGATGACATAAAACAGAAAATCATTGTTATACAGAAACAGGCCACAGGTGCCAACGAAAGTGGAGAAGCTTTAAATAATTGACTGACAATAAATAAGGAAACATACGAAGTGTTATAATTTCTCATATTAGAAACTAGCTATTCTTATTGCTTAGTATATCTTGGACATTGCTTCAAACAAGAAGTCCCCAAATCAGAACACGGTTGAACAGGGACGTAGTAGAATTCCAAATAACAAGGCTGGATGGAAGTAGGAATCACAATAAGAAAAACATTGGTATATTTAAGATTTTTACATAAGAAGATTCCAGAGTCATCCCAAGTCTCCGCTATCGTTGAGAAATAGCCAGTCAGTATGGCCCAACACAGTCCTGCAAGGGATATGTTTTAATCCAATCTGTATCCCGCTAACATGCGTGGTGATAGTTAATAGGTAAAACAGAAGCTTACAACAAATAGAAAATAAAAGCATGATAGTTCAGTAATTTAGTAATTGTATAATAAATAAATATACACATACATTGAAAGTCCGTAAAATGTTTTCGAGTGTAATCCTTCCTTAAATTTTCGTCCTCTTACAACAAGGTTCTTTGATCATTACATAGGTTATTTAAAGATTACGCGCTCACGATGATTCCTTAATATCCCAGGTTCATTCCTCGGTGTTAACAATGTGGACTGACTTCAACTTGATTAACTTCAGTCCAAAACTAGTCATTTCATTTAAATCTCAATCAACTTAGTTAAGAAAACATTTTACACAATAACTTATTTAAAGTTACAAATGACTTAAACAGTTTTTTCGTTAAACAGATTATAATGATCTTATAAGCATGGAACTAGATATTCCGTCTTATTGTTTAATACATAGTTACAGTCATCAAATAGTGATTGACCTATTATGTCACATTATGCTTGGTGATTTAAACAATTAAAATACAAATACACCATTTCATCACTTTAACAACATTTCAAAATGTAATATACTTAGTTTAGTAATAAAGTCATTTCATGTTATGTCTTTTTTTTCTAATTTTGTAGTTACTTGATAAGTATGGTACTGAAGGAAAAATGTCACTAGAACAATTTGGAAGATTTTTTGAACAACCATAATTATAATGAACCATGAATAGTACTTATAATGAAATAAACTTTTTGCACTTGTTTATCTGTAGTAGAAGAGTTGAATGAGATATAACTAACTTCTAATTTGTCTTTAAGATAGTTGAGTTCATCCAGCAAAACAAATTTAATATACATAACCATATATGTATGCCATTTTTTGTACAAGTCAGTTTATTATTACATCATTTGCAATCGATGAAATGCTTCATAATGCAGATTAAATTACCTCAACTCTTGAAACATATTGGACAAAATATTTATAGTGTGTGCACAATTAATAGAAATCCATATTATGATGATTGAAGAAATAAAGAATTATAATGCATGTCCATGAAACACTGAATCGTTGATATGTGAAAACAAAATATTCTAAGCTACTGAGTTAATGATGGCAGTTCAGAGTTAATTTGCTAACATAATGTTAACATTAAGCTATTTGATTAAATATTGTAATTTAAAATATTCATCATCAGATGTTAGTAAAGAGCTTCACTTGTATCAGTCATAAGTAACACATTTGTCTATGACAAGAATAAAGTGTCTAAAAAAATTTAATTTAGGATTATAAACTACTGCAGATATTGTTAAAGCTAAGTGATTTTAATATCAGATCAGGAAACAATATATAAGTTGAATATTTAGAAATACCAACAATTGAGTTCTACTTCAGAAAAATACAAAGCGACAGCAAAATAGCATTAATTATTTGAAAAGTAATTTAGGAAGTTCAGCATTTTCTGAAAAATCTTCTACAACTTTATGTAAAAAGTGTAAATTTTAGTGGCCCTGTTAAATTGTATGCTGATTGTTGTCGAAATACATATGCCGCCAACCTGTCTACATTTTTATCGACTTAATTCGCGTTAGAGAATAACCGAATGAAATAAGCCAAATACGAGAATGAATTTTCAGTACGTATATTCCATACTAACTCGCTAAAAAAACGCTAACCAGAAAAAATTGTTCAAACCTTTTAAACTCTGCCCTGGGAGTCAGAAGGTCTTCATTTAGAAGAATTATGACGCCTCATGATGAAAGCCGAATTCCTTCGGAAGTTACGAGGCCGATGCCCCTTCTGACAACCAGAGCAACCATTTATTTAGGTACATGGAATGTTCGTACAATGTGGGACACCGGAAGAGCCTTCCAAATTGCTGCAGAAATGAGAAGATACAACCTAGAGGTACTTGGGATCAGTGAAACACATTGGACACAAGTTGGACAACAACGACTAACTACAGGAGAGCTCCTGTTATACTCCGGCCATGAAGAAGAAAATGCACCACATACACAAGGAGTTGCATTGATGCTGCCCAACTTCGAGACCAACAGGCAGGATTCCGTAAGGATAGATCGTGTACAGACCAAATCGCAACTCTACGGATCATTGTGGAACAATCAATTGAATGGAATTCATCACTCTACATCAACTTCATTGACTACGAAAAGGCATTTGACAGCGTGGACAGAACAACACTATGGAAACTTCTTCGACACTACGGCGTGCCTCAGAAGATAGTCAATATCATACAGAACTCATATGATGGATTACACTGCAAAATTGTGCATGGAGGACAGTTGACAAAGTCGTTCGAAGTGAAGACCGGTGTTAGGCAAGGTTGCTTACTCTCACCGTTTCTCTTTCTCCTGGTGATCGACTGGATCATGAAGACGTCAACGTCTGAAGGGAAGCACGGGATACAATGGACATCTAAGATGCAGTTGGATGATCTAGACTTCGCAGACGATCTGGCCCTTCTATCCCACACGCAACAACAGATGCAGGAGAAGACAAACAGCGTAGCAGCAGCCTCAGCAGCAGTAGGTCTCAACATACACAAAGGGAAAAGCAGGATTCTCCGATACAACACAGCATGCACCAATCCTATCACAATTGATGGAGAAGATTTGGAAGATGTAAAAACCTTTACATATTTGGGCAGCATCATTGATGAACAGGGTGGATCTGATGCAGATGTGAAAGCACGGATCGGCAAAGCAAGAGCAGCATATTTACAACTGAAGAACATCTGGAACCTAAAACAACTGTCAACCAACACCAAGGTCAGGATTTTCAATACAAATGTCAAGACAGTTCTACTGTATGGGGCAGAAACCTGGAGAACTACAAAAGCCATCATCCAGAAAATACAGGTGTTTATTAACAATTGTCTACGCAAAATACTTCAGATCCATTGGCCGGACACTATTAGCAACAACGTACTGTGGGAGCGAACAAACCAGATCCCAGTGGAGGAAGAAATCATGAAGAAGCGCTGGAAGTGGATAGGACACACATTGAGGAAAGCACCGAACTGCGTCACAAGACAAGCCCTCACATGGAATCCTGAAGGTCAAAGGAAAAGAGGAAGACCAAAGAACACATTACGCCGAGAACTGGAGATAGACATGAGAAAAATGAACAAGAATTGGATGGGACTAGAAAAGAAGGCCCAGGACAGAGTGGGTTGGAGAATGCTGGTCAGCGGCCTATGCTCCATTGGGAGTAACAGGCGTAAGTAAGTAAGTAAGTATATTCCATACACCCATTGACGCAAACAGACAAATAGAGAAACGAAGTAACATGCAGAGGAGGTGAGTGAGTCAACACGTTTCGGACAAGCTTGACACAATATTTATATTCAGACAAAAATAAATTATGGACTTATAATGAATAATAGGGTAAGCAATTAACACTTACGACCATATAAAAAGTCATGTTTAATAAGCCAATAATCAACAAGGCCAAAAATTGGCTTGAGAAGAACGAATTAGTCTGTCCAGAAGCTAGGATAACCTATCTAGGCTTGACATAGTGCCCAGCCACTAAAAATTGACCTGGAACCTAAGATTTCATTTGTTTATTAACCCTGATTTCAATTGATGAATTGTCTTTATCTGTAACAGAATTATATTAACACTAGCCAATTAAGTCTAAAGAAACGTTGTTCGTCCTATTTTCGCTTGGTAGTTGTTTCCAACCTTATAACAACTTGGTGAGATTACAATATATGGACGACCTTTGAGCGACGCTGAAGTGACCTTGAGGGTGGACACGTGCTGATTAGGAATAAATGAGGGTTATAAAGCAGTTAGAATTCTTATTAAAAGTTGATGGTCAGGGTTAGAAATTAGACTTGCGGTCTTCCTCACAAACGGGCATCAGCTATAGTGCCAAAACTCTATTTAGCCAAATGCATGAGTGAATTTCGCGCCAAAATTCGTGACTCGTTATCCTATATCTGATTGGTTCGTAAATAAATTATAGTCTCGCCGAACACTGATCAACTGTGATATCCACAAAAGACCGCACAAAGAGAAAAGTGTTCATCACATTAGTTTTCTACTACTAGCAGTTCAAATTGTGACAAAATCTCTGCTTACATGGTAGCAAATACGACTTCGTGATGAGTAATAAAACTTACTTTTTAATACCCGTTACCACTAGTGGGGGAGGATAGGCTGATCAAGAGCATTCTCCATTCAAATATGACCTGGACAATCCCCTCCACTTGTTTCCATTTGACACTCACACCTTTGATGCACACTTCCATTTCCCAAAACATAGTGTTATTTGGTATTCCATTTTTCCATTTCCCTTCAGAGTTCCATGTTAATGCTTATTTCGTGATGCGGTTTGATGATTTCCACAATGTGTGTCCCATCCACTAACAACGTCTTTTCCTAATTTTCCCCTCAATAAGAAGTTGGTTTATTCTCACACACAGTAGGCTATTGCTGATTATATCCGATCAAAGGACAATTAGTGTGTTGCGTAGACAATTGTTTGCAAATACTTGTACATCTTCGATGATGATTGTGGTAGTTCTCCATGTTTCAGTTCAGTACAATGGGATTGTCTTGACGTTCGTATTGAAGATTCTGATTTTGATAGTCGCTTGTAGACAGTTGTTTTGGTTTCGAGATGTTGTTCCACAGTAGGAATGTGATCCTTGCCTTTACGTCTGCATTGGATCCTCAATTGTTCATCGATGATTTTGAAAATCAGTCAGTCAGCTACAACGTAGGACCAGGCAGATATGTGCATCGGTCCAGGTTGCCATACCTCATTAGCACAGCAAGATGAACAGCGGATTCATAGGAGTGGTTAGGTCAAAGGTTGCAATAAGGATATAGTATAGGAAGAGAGAATTAGTTCGTAGACATAAAGAATGAAGTGATTTTAGTCTCTTAGTTTAAGAGAAGACAGGGAGTGTATACACCGACGCCATTGTGATCGATTCTGAGCCATGTCACCAAGAGTCTCCAACCATTGGTTACGAAAGTCACGCGGACCCCAACCAAGTAGTCTGCATCTACCAACATGGCTCAGACTAGAAGTTAGTGAGTTCAATCACTGATGCCACGTTTTGGTTTGACCGCCCCTAACTTTCTTCCAACCATCCCCTACCCCGGTTAGCATTGCACGTCGTGGTAATCGGTTTTCAGGCATACGTAATACGTGGCCCAACCATCTCAGTCGATGAAGATTTACAACCTCATCAACTGATTTACCATCATTCCCTAATACCCGGCGTCTAACCTCACTATTACTTACCCGGTGATCCCAGCAGATGCCAGCAATATTTCTAAGGCATCTGTGGTCAAATACTAGTAACTAACGGGTGTCTTCTACTCTTAAGGGCCATGTTTCGCTGCCGTAAATTAAAACAGAACGAACTGCCGCGCAGTATACTCGTCCTTTTATTGATAGACGGATATCTCGCCTTCGCCAAAGGTGACGTAAGTTGGCAAAGGCCAAACGAGCTTTTCGAATCCGTGCTGAGATTTCGTCAGACACCAACCCATTAGGGCTGATCAGACTTCCAAGATAAGTGAAGTTGTCAACGCGTTCAACTACTTCACTCCCTATCCTTAGTTCAGGTGTTGAGGCATACCAGTCCTGAAGCAACAACTTGCATTTAGAGGGAGAGAAGCGCATCCCGAACATTCTGGGATTGTTGCTTAGTGCTACCAGAAGACTCTGCATTTTGTCAGCGTCTTCACCAAACAGGACTATGTCATCTGCGTATTCTAAGTCGATAAGTGGACCTCCTGGAAGGAGATCAATACCCGAGAATTCAGTCGACGAGAGTGTTATTTCCATCAATAGGTCTATGATGAAGTTAAACAGAAATGGAGAAAGTGGACAGCCTTGACGGACACCACTTGAGGTTGCAAAAGTAGATGACAGTTCGCCATAAGCCCTGACTCGACTAGTAGTGTTCGAGTAAAGAGCCTTCACAAGGTTTATGTACTTCTGAGGTACGCCTTTCAATGACAGACACTGCCACAGAATCTCGCGGTCTACCGAGTCAAATGCTGCTTTTAAGTCAAGAAATACCACCATCGTCGGACGCCGATAGGTATGCCTGTGTTCTAGAACCTGACGAATGGTGAATATGTGGTCGATGCAGCCACGACCAGGTCTAAAGCCAGCTTAGTTCTCTCGAGTTTGTAGTTCACGAGTCTTAGTTAGGCGTTTCATAGTATCATGTCCGTGAATGTTTCCACCTGTTGCAGAGTTTCTCCATCAAGTTTGTTTGGTGTTGTCTGTGTTGTAGTTGAGGATCTTGCCTTTACACATGTGAATGTTGAGGCCTAGTGATTCAGAGGCTGCTGCTGCTACTCTGGTTTCCTTGATCTGCATTTGTTATTATATATGCGATGAAGGGGTGAGGTCATGTTCGGTGTCCAAATCATCTAGTTGTATACAAGCTGTCCATGCACGACTCAGCAGTGAAGTTCGTCGTATGTAATCTGTATGATGTTGACGATGTTTTCAGCTACTCACACTGTAGTGTGGAAGATGATTCCATAAAGTTCTTCTATTCACACTGTCAAACGATTTCTCATAGTCAATGTGGTTGATGTTTGGTGACGAGTCGCACTCAATTGATTGTTCGACGGTGATATGTATTGTGCCCATTTGGTCTGTGCACGATTGAT